GGACGCTGAAGTATAATCAGAATGTTTATCTTATTTCTTTCTAGTGAAATAAAGACTTAATTTACTTATGATCTCAATATTCAATTGGAACATATTTTTTCAAATACTAAAAAATAATGAAAAAGTAAACACAAAAAAGGGAACTAAGGTAAATACTATTTGTCATAATAAATTTTGAATATTCAGCTTATGTTTTTATACGATGGAGGCAACGCAAACCTCAGGTAAAACTTTTTTCCTTATTTTTTTTTGTCTTACACGATTTGATTGAGCTTGATGTGTTGATCAAAAAGCACTTTTGAGACTTTGTAAATAGTTTCTTCAAATGAAAACTGGAAAAAAAACTGAAGTTAATGAAAACAACAAAAGTATGTATCATTGGATTTAATTTTTTACGTTGACATGTTAGTTGAATGAATTATATGATATACATTATATTGAGTTTATTTCGATTGCTATTATCAATAGTTTTGAGATCAAATTTACTTTAACACCGATTATATACTCAATTCTTGTCAGTAAATTTGAAAACATAAGCTAGAAAAGCTTAACAAAAAATAGAGAGCAGAGAGTTTTTAAAACAATGAAAAGAACAGCATGTTTACAAAGAACAACTTATTCTTGGCTTTCAGTTTCTTACGATATGAACGGACCATTTACAAAGCATAGAAACAGGGTTTTTTTGCAGGTGTGAGTATGGGGTGTTGATCGATCGGCAGAGTACAGAAGTCAGCACATGCAATAAAAGGAACCCACACTCACATCCATCGACACTCACACCCACACCGCACCTACACCTTACGAAAGTGGAACCCATAGTTTGCAGCTTTTTTTTTTGATAAATACTTTTCACTGGGTAAGTGTGCCATTTTCACATTGATTGTATTACACACTCTCTCTTTAGATAACAGTGATAGGCACAAGTACAATCGTTTACGTGTATATACATATAGTCTTTCCAGAAATTCTCTTTCTGAAGATTCTAAAAGTATATTTGATTATGTTCTAAAGAAACTCTAACAAGTTTTGAAATAAAATAATAAAATATATATGTTGCAAAAATTTTATATTATCCTTAAATGTCTGTAAATTTCTAAAAGTTACTAATTAGTTTCAAAAAAAAATCAACAAATAACAGGCTAAAGAACACGTATACATACTTTTGAGGAAAATATACCAATACGACGCGTAATTATCCATGAACTAAAAAGAAAAATATCATATGAAACTTTTTGAATGAAACAGTTCGCAAGTATTTATTGTAGGATTTTGCTCATGAAAGAAGTTTCACAACTGATCAATCTCTTTCGAGCCGGAAGCATGTGCATCTCGTAGATCCTAATGGATTATGAATATCTCGAAAAAACTTTGGGTTCATATGATTATTGCTGTCGACATATTACATTTTTACGATATGTTTCAATAAAATATCGTGATCATCCTCAACAACAGTAGGAAAACTGATTTTTGAATTTTGACTTGCATAGAAACAAACTTTAACAAGAGTAGTTAGTTGTGAAACTATCAGACTATATAATCTTTTCCTGTTCTGAAATAAGAACATCAAATCTGCGAGTGTGTCTGAGCGATATAATGAGCGTGTTATTTCCATGACTGTATTTTGAGATAGAAACAACGAAAATATCTCAAACCTTCATAAGAAACTATTCAATAACATTGTATTGAAAATTACTTTAAAAATGTAATGTGTTAGCAGTAATAATCAATGAACTCGAACTCTTTTCGGAGTATTCATAATCCATCAGAATCTACATGATGCACATAATTCCAACTTAAATGTAGTTAATCATTCGATGGTCTTCTCTCGTTAAATTACCGTTTTTACCATAATGATAAATTCTATAATAGTTCTTCATATTTCTACGTAGTACTGAATGAACAGACTCAGTTTACTAGCTAAGATGAACTTTAGTAAAACTAACTATTCAGAATTAGTTTTTCCCACGCATGTTTTGCGATGAATCCAAATACAATAATTGAAGATTCTATTTCGGGCAATCGTATTTCATTTCATCTTCAACATGCTACGATCTTTATACTCTTGTCTTAGTTCATGTTGTGAATATCACCAGATCTGTCATTGTGATCTGTAATATAGGGATAACGAACAAAATTTTCATCTATGTCTTTTTTTTCTTTCACGTCCACTGTGACATGATTCAATTAACATATCTTCTTTGATCATCAACCGAAAGATATATTCCATCATATTTTAGAATCTTAATTCTTCACAAATTTCACTGACAACTTTTTCTTTAGCATCAAAGAAATAGTTGAATTCGTTTTTTAAAAACTTATTTAAAAAAAATCAATGTTTTGAAGAATAACGAAAGATAATTATGTTGAATACAATTATCCATAATGAACATCAATATTTACTGTTTAACTTGAGGATGATAAATGATTCCGATATATTGTTATTGTCTGAACTTGAATATAGTCGAGAGTTCAAATAAAGATCGATTCTTACATGTGAATATGTGATAAACAAATAACTAAAGCTAAGAATGAACTGCTATATAGTTACGTCGTACTTTCAAAAATTATAGCAATCTATATGGTAGATTCTCGTTTCGTCGAAACGCTAATTGATTTTCCTGTTTCGTCGAAAAATTTGATACACCCTTTTTTCATCATTCCCGTTTCGTCGAAAATGCAAAAACGACTGTTCTCGTTTCGTCGAAAAATTAAATTGTAATGAAAAGAGTATAATCAAAGCGATAAGCTCAATATCTATGATTGACTTGAACTATTTTCTTAAAAAGAAACTAATCGATATCCCTATACTATTAATCTGAAATTTTGTAAAAGTGTATATATGTGGAGTAAAAGGGACAATTCATTTTTTTGCTATATTCATTATTAAACAAAAAGATGCTATCTATTGTTGAAAGTAAACGTAAGAAACCAACTTTATTACTTGATGCTTTTCGCTACACATAGGACAAAATTTTTAACACAACTATTTATTGGAAATTCTATGTTCATATTTTCTCTTAATAATTTCTTATTTATGTATCCAAATCTGCTCTATAAGAAAAATTTTTTGACAAATGTATCTACAAGTAAATAGGCGCTATTCCTGATTGATATGACGAAGAAATCTTATCAAAGGATATAATCTATTCTTCATTGATTAGTTAGAATTTATCTTTTCGACGAAACGGGAACAGTCGTTTTTTTCATTTTCGACGAAACGGGAATGGGTGAAAAATTTATTTTCGACGAAACGAGAAAATCAATTAACTTTTCGACGAAACG